TTTACGAGAGGAAGGGAGAGAGATAGAGAGTTAGAAACATCGATGAGAGAGAAACATCGATCAGCTGCCTCCTGCACATCCCCCACTGGGGATGTGCCCGCAACCCAGGTACATGCCCTTGACCGGAATCGAACCTGGGACCCTTCAGTCCGCAGGCCGACACTCTATCCACTGAGCCAAACCGGTCTCGGCCCATTTGTTATTCTTATATGCTTCAAATACAAAGTCCTTCGGTTGATCTCTTACCCCCCCAACCCTCCCCAGGCTTCCCACTGTAGTTTGACAGTCTGTTCAATGCTGCTCTGCCTCTGTATCTATTTTTGTTCATCAGTTTATAATGGTCTTTATTATCCATAAATGAGTGAGATCATGTGGTATTTTTCTCGGCTTCCCAGGGGCCGGCGCAGCCTCTCAGGGGCCGTCTCAGCCTCACAGGGGCCGTCTCAACCCTCAGAGGGGCCGTCTCAGCCTCGCAGGGGCCGTCTCAGCCTCGCAGGGGCTGTCGCAGCCTCGCAGGGGGTGCCACATCCCACGTTGGGGGTGAAGGTGCGAGTCAGAAGCTCCTCTCGCTGTCTCTCCTGCTGCTCCCTTGCGTATCGCTGATGCTGGAAGTTTCTGAGAGCAGTCTGCAGGTGCTGGACATCATACTTTAACTGGTCAATACGAAGTTTGGCATTCTGTCTTTTGTTGGGCGGCTTCTGCTGGACAAAATCTCCAGGTGTTCTTGGTGGCTGAATATCTGGTATGCTTGCTTGGATTTCGTTTTGTACTAAGTGCACAGACTGCTTGTCTGCCGTCTCCCAGCGTCCCATGTGAGACTGGATCTGGTGGACCTCCTTGTGCGTTTGCTGGTACAGCGGTTCCATGTCGCCGGCCCAGCCGGGTCCGGCTCAGGCTCCGGCTTCCTCCGAACCTGATTCTGCTTCTTGAGTGTGTCCCTTATGGATGCGAGGAGTTGAAATCTGCAGTTTGTTGGGTTAAGCTGCAAAAGCGCAGGTGGTTCCTTTTGTGCCACTGGTACAGCTTGGGTGGGGATGTAAATTGAGTAGGGCGGGGTCTCAGGGAATCACCAGGGCGGAGCAAACAACGGTTGTCGTCAGCGTCTCCGCGTCTCCGCGTCCCCACATCCCCGAGTTGCCGGTGAGCAGCTCTGCGAGAAAGCCACCCTTGTTCTCCGACCTGCTGCAAGACAGTCCCGCCTCTCCCCGTAGGGGTCTGGGGCCTCAGAATCCCGCCCCAAACAAGCTCAGTGGATTCGAGAGCTTGTATCCCCTTCCAATTAAAAAAAACCGCGCATCCAGTTGCAGCCTGCCTGGCGTGCGACTCCATACCTCTGTTCTTGGCGCCTCTGCACATCCTACTCAGTCTCAGTGCGCTTCTTTCTTTCCTTCCAGTTGTAGAACTTCCACTGGGCCAGCTTTCCCATGGTTCTGGATGATAGCTGTTTTGTCTTATAGTTGGTAGTTTCAATGTTGTTGTGCACAGGTCTATACCTTTTGCCGCCATCTTGGTTCTCTGAAAATATTAACTGTATGTAAAAACACCTTTTAGTGCAGTGTTCAAAATTACAATGCTAAAATTTCCAACGGATTCTGTTATTTACAAGTAAAGAATATAATCCTGTTCAAGTGAGGAAGGGAAGTGTTTGACATTTAGTGCCATCTCTTGGGCATTTGACAAAATGACTTTAAAGGCTTCTGTAAGTGTCTGTGAATGAAAATGAATATTGCCGACATTGCTATGCAACGTAATGTGCATCTTCCTCCTGAAAGCGGTAATGATAATCACCCAAACATAAATAGTTCATAATTGGCTGCAGTTTTACTTAACCTTCCTAGAGAAAATTAGCCAAACATTTAGTGTAAATGTGTTAAATGGGAAGCTTAAATATACTCATTTTTTAAAGCTCATCTTAATTTAAGAGAAAGTATTAGCTTTTGATGTGTGAAAGAAATTTACTTGATGGAAAGACATTATCTGTGTAAGTATTTGCCAGTTAAGGATTTTAAATTTCTTTTTTTTTTTAAGCATGTTCTTTTATTGATTTTTTACAGAGAGGAAGGGAGAGGGATAGAGAGTTAGAAACATCGATGAGAGAGACATCGATCAGCTGCCTCCTGCATACCCCCTATTGGGGATGTGCCCGCAACCAAGGTACATGCCCTTGACCGGAATCGAACCGGGACCCTTTAGACCACAGGCCGAGGCTCTATCCACTGAGCCAAACCGGGCAGGACAAGGATTTTAAAATTCTTAACACAGGGTGCTTTTTTGTTTATTTTTGGTTAATATATAGACTTTTAATTACAGTGTCACTATGAGATATTTACTGAGGAAGTAACAGGTGGTGGTGGTGACCATGTGTGTGTTTAAGGTTTGGAGAGTAGTGATCTAGAAGAGAGGCTAAGGTTCAGGTATATTGCTATACTCTGAAATCATGTAGTACACTTAAGATGTACCTATATATATCAAAGCCTAAGCGACTGTTATGACCAGACAGCCGGCCAGTAGCTAGAATGCGCACTGACCACCGGGGGACAGATGCTTAACACAGGAGCTGCCCCCTGGTGGTCAGGTGCACTCCTACAGCCAACCTCCTGTGGCTGGCCAACCTCCCGCGGTCCCTCCCCCCAGCCAACCAGCCCCGATTGCCTGCCAGGCCAAGGGACCCCCTCCGGGCACGAATTCGTGCACCCGGCCTCTAGTTATAATTATAAAGCAGAACCCATACCTCTGGTACTTTTCCATTGGAGTGATTTGTCTTATTCTATCTGATAACAAAACATAGTTTTTTTGAAGACTTTAAAGAAATCTTTGTGTGCAAAAGAATGATTGAGGAAAAAATTTTGAGTTGAAAAAGTTTTTTTTTTCAGTTTTTAAACTTTCTGTTAATTTTGGATATTCTGTATTGCTTTTTAAGGCAAGGAAGGGAAAATTGTTTTCTTTGTAAATAAAAAGATAGGTGTGCCTATTGTCTTGCCTGTTTTTAAATGACCCATTCATTCCCCTATTGTAGCATTTTCTTTTGTAGCTTAACACATGCTTGACTAGATAAAAGCTTTAAAAAGTGAGACTGATAATGTTTCTAATTTTCTTGATAATTAATGGACTTCAAACTATAAAATTATATTCTTTTACAGTATCCCTTTCACTATTCAGCGGCTATGTGAATTGCTAACAGATCCAAGGAGAAATTATACAGGAACAGACAAATTTCTCAGAGGAGTAGAGAAGGTATATATTTTGTTAATTGAAATTATATTAAACTGTAACATAATAGATTTAAGAAAAAACGCATTGAGTAAGAGTTGTTGTAGTCACCTTTTCTTGAAATAAGTTTCTCAACCTACTTGAAGTTTTTCCCAAATTGTTGTCTGAATTGTGGTCAGAGTTTCGGAGAATTTAATAGAGGGGCAGAGGAGGGCTTATGATCAATTAAGTTTAGGAAAGCAACTTAGGATTCTCTCCTGGATATTCATAGTATACATCAATATATTAAATGTTCTATGAAGTTCTATAATTGATATTTTAACTTTAATAGAGTGTTTTGCAAACGTGTTAATCCATGGAATTCATTTATTTCAGTTCTGGAATTGAGATGTACACAACTCTGGAAAATCACTGATACAAAGCATTAAATTAGATGTTGAGAAAGGTAAAGGTCAGCTTGAAGAATGAAGAAAACACTAGGTTTTCTGTGAGTGAGGTGATATTAGTAATAAGGAAAGGGCATTTCGGACTGAGGGAAGAGCATGATGAGCAAAGACAGCAAGGTGTTTGAGGAAGTTGACTTGGGTAAAGAAGGTGAAGGAGCCCTGGAAACCAAGATGGGACCAGTGGGTGGCTAATCCCCTCACTTGGTGATTGATCCTAGTCCAGTGTTCATTTTAAGATTATAATTCAAATTCAGTTTATTTACCCTGGGAGCTGGAATCCAAAACTGTTACTTAGTCATTTACAGTAGATCATAAGGCCTTACCAGATTAATGTTTTTAATCTCTTGTGGTATATGATACTACACATCAGGCTTTGATTGGTACTGCTTTATAAGGAAATTCATTTATACTTGGCCTAAAACTTCAATGTCTAAGTATCTTGGGGGTGATTCTAACTACAATAAGGAGAGGGTGGTTCTACTTTATTACATGAAATATATAATGTTAGGGCTCCAAAGTAACTAAAGTAGAGTAAAAAAAAATAAATGCATTAGTAGGATATTAGATTTTGGTCTTTTGTTGTTTGTAAGTTTTATTTTAAAATTTTTGTTAGTAAAATCAGAATAAATAGAAACTTAACCTACCAGGATGAATTTGAGAAATTAAAAACAAATGATTAAACTTACGCTGTAGTACTTTTCCTCATGTTAAATCACCAATTTTTGCTTGCAGAATGTGATGGTGGTTAGCTGTGTATATCCTTCTTCAGAGTAAGTAGAGAGACTTTTCTGTTTCTAATATGTTAGTCTTAAAAAGTTGCATTTATTTTATATATAATGAAACATAATTATACTTATAAATACCTGTGAATCTATCACCCAGTTTCCAAAATTGAATATTACCAATAATATTACCTGTGTGTTTTTGCAATAAAGGGGTTTGGATTAAGGAGATTTGTGATTTACCATAATCTTCACATTGTTGAATTTATGTATTGTCATGGCACTCAGGGCCCTGGGATCTTATCCTAGATACCTTTCCAGGGCATCTTTAGAAATTTGGCTACTTGATTACATTCCTCTTCATGATGGAAAACTGTTTCCAGTTCTCCAGATTGATATAGCAAATTAAGATATCGGTTAAGGGTACAGTCCTTGGCACTATTAATGTTTTGTTAATGAGTGGATATCTTGGAAATTACAGGAAGTTTAGCAGTGCCCCTGGCCTCTACTCCCTGGCTGTCACTAGTATCCCCTTTTCCCCCAAAAGAGTCTTCAGACACTGTCCAATGTCTTCCGGGATGCAGTGTGGGGTAGAGGGATTGTGAGGAGGACATTGCCTCCCATTGAGAAAAGTTGATTTAACACGTTAAGCGCCAGCCTGTTTTGTCTTCTGGACAGAAAGTATAGTGTCAGTCACCGGTGACTGACTGGGCGTTTAACGTGTTAAGGTTAAAAAAATCTCTGATTTAATAGACAAAAACTGAATTTCTTTTCAGAATTTTTTCAAGAATATACATGTTATTAAGATAATCCCACAATTGTTACTTCTCACAGAGGTCTTATTGTTTGGTTTTGCAACAGTGATATCTTACAAAAGATGTAAATTCTTCATTCTTGTCAAAACTAATACATGAAACCATCCATAACAGTGTTTGTTTTGTCTCATAGGAAAAACAATTCTAATAGTTTAAATCGAATGAATGGTGTTATGTTTCCTGGAAATTCACCAACTTATACTGAAAGGTAAGACTCTTGATTTTTAATATCCAAAGAAAGAGTTTACATATTTTAGTTTTGAGTAGCAGGCTCGATACTCTTTTTTAAAAATTAGGCATTAAGAGGATAATAAAATATACTAAACAGAATTAGTTAATGTGGATCTGAAAGTCAGAATGACCTTGAAAGGGATGACTTTCAGCAAAATGGGAAAATGATGTTCACTTGTCTTACCACAGGGCTAATATCAATGGGCCAGGAACACCTAGGCCACTTAATCGACCAAAGGTTTCTATGTCAGTCCCCATGACAACCAATGGCTTGCCTGAGAGCACAGATGACAAAGAGTCAAACTTACAGCAAACTGAGGACAAAAGTCACAGGTGTGTTTTAGATTTATATTTAAAAACAAAAACTGTTTATAAAATATTAACATTGGTGATTTTCAGCACTCATTGTTTACTATCTATAATTTACTAAGGTTTTGAGGTATAGGACAGGTTTTAATGTGATAGGAGCTTTTAGCACATACTGAAGATGGGCATAGAAAAGACTAATAAAACTGCTAAATTGGGGAGGTCCTCCTTATAATGGGGTCTTAAGAAAATAAGGTGGTCATGATGTATTTTAATTTTTTTTTGAAAGTTACTAGAAAATATATTTGTAAATGAGTTGAAATTTTGTGAATAATTTCTTATTATATAGATCATAAAATGAAACATTTATATCTCATCAAATTTTCTACATCATTTAAGGGAAAGAAGACTGAATGAGTGAGAGGATTTAAAGAGCATGCCCATATGGAAGACTTGTAGTTTTATTATAGGAGAACATTTAACTTACTGGAGAATTGAACCAGAAAGGTCATATAACTTGTTGACTAGTTCCAAATGGTAAATATTCATTAAACAGTTTAGGTTCCCTTGAAAATTTTCTCGTGTTCTCTTGGCCCAGGTGGTATAATTTAACTTTGACACTGAAATACAATTTAAAAAAATAATTAGATCTTTAAAATGAGAATGTAGAGGATGAAGAAAATAATTTTATTAATGACACTTAAAAAAACCATTTACAGTCATTCTCCGACACCTGGATCAGAAAGCTCCTCAGTGAGCCCGATGAAAAATAAACATCCAGGTGAAGATGCTGTGGACGCTGAGGGGCATGAGGTAAAAAGACTTCGGTTTGACAGAGAAAGTGAAGTCAGGGAGACAGCCAGTCAGACATCTTCCAGTGAAATTTCTTCCGTTCTGGTAGAAGAAACAGATGCATCATCTTCATCTCAGGATAAAGACAAAGAAAGTGGTTGTTCCAGGCAACACTGTACAGAAGAGGAGGAAGAGGAGGAGGAAGAGGAGGAAGAAGAAGGTATTTAGAAACCATCTGTAAAAGGGTGGAGTAAGGAGATCCTCAAATAAAGAACGTAACATAATGCTGATGTTGGGCTTTTATCCCACATTTATATAGTTGCTGCTCAATTTCAGGGAATATGATTTTGAACTGTAGAATATCACAATTCATGAAATTGGAGGTATTTTGAAAATAAAATTTAACTACAACAACATTTGCTTATTTTTAGAGTCTTTTATGACATCAAGAGAAATGATCCCTGAAAGAAAAAATCAAGAAAAAGAATCTGATGCCTTAACTGTGAATGAAGAGACTTCTGAGGAAAATAATCAGATGGAGGAATCTGGTCTGACTCAAGCCGGGAAAGATTTCCATTCTGAAGGTAGTGAGAACAAAGGCCCTGGCAGTGGTGGCTCTGATTGCCATGAAACAGAGGAATTGGCAGAACCCAGCTCTAGTGAGACTGGAGAGGTTCTCTCAGAATCATCCATGGAAAACGATGATGCAGCCACAGAGGTCACAGAGGAACCAATGGAACAAGACTAATTAGAGACAGTATTTTACATACAGTTCTGGTTTTACACTGTATAAAACTTTTATGTAATAAAGTGGACCTTTAGTTTTACAAGAGAAGCAGGTTGTAATATAAAGTATTTTGTGGGATAAATCCTGAAAGAGTTGTACATGTAAGAACTATGAATATTGGTTCCATAGGTCCTGCTTACCGCTGACTGTTTTGGTTTGGTCAAATCAGTGGTTTGTGTGTATAGATTTTTTTTTTTTAGAATTAAAGTTTTTTAACTGGAAAGTAATTATAATTTTGAAAACCTTTTGGAGATTATTTAGTTTATACATACACAAAAAAGCTTTTTGTCTTGTCTTTTCTGACAGCTCTAGCAGTTTTCATATTTTGGTCATAGTTTCAACATTTTAACGTGAATTTTAGGGATTAAAGTCTGTTTCTCAGCTTTATTGCTTGACTGTCCAATGGAACTGTTGAAACTATATGCATACATATATATATGTATATATATACATATATACACATATATATTATTCTAAGGGGGGAAATGTTATATTTTTCTGTTTCTATAAGAGATGAATAAATACAGTGGATACTTTTTCTATTGGTCATGACTGAGTTCACTCTTTCAGAAGACAGTTTCTTTCTCTTCTAAGTAACTCAAATAAAATTTGGCCCTTGTGAAACCCTGGAAATCTAGAGTCTGTTGAAAAACCAGGTTAAACACATTCCAAGAGATCTGTTCAAACAAATTCTTTTGTATACCTCTGAGGTGCCTGAAACGACTTCATTATTTATGAGAAAATGTGCTTTATCTTGGAAATTGTATTCAAACATGAGCTTACTATTTTGTAGAATGAATGCTTATAAAGCTGACATGAGAACGTCTCAGAACTGAGCAGTTTCCTTAACTTTTTTGCTTGCTTTTCTGAACATTGTGAATATTACACATTTCTTTCTAAATTATTCTAGAGTATAATATGTCAATGATATGAAACACCACTGTACTGGAAGAATTAATATATTACTTTAGTAATGTACTGGAGCTAAATGACTGAAGCTTTAGGGGTGCATAGAAATCACCATAATTTGTATGACATTTTGAAGTGAATTAAATATTTTTGAACATGCTTCTTCAACAGCCAGTGTTATATTTTTCAGATCAACAGAAAGCACAATAATTACTGTAAACTCAATATTTTCAAATTCACATATCTAATGTCATGTAAGATGCAATTTTCCTGTCAAATTACTGGCTGCCAAATTTATACCTGTTTCTTTGGCTGTACCTTTTGATATTTAGAATTTTTAAATTTCTGTAAAGTAGATTTTGTAGGATGTAATGTGTTCACTGCCTTTGTGACGCGGTATATAACTGTAAATTTCTGTGTGTAAACTGAATGCTTGGGCTTTCAATACAGTATTCATATAAAGCAATAAATACTAATGTTATGAAATATTTGAGTACATTTTTATCAAAAATAAAATCTCTTTTTTAGTTTCAGATACCTGAAGTAAACAGATGAACTTATAAAACTGATGCAAACAATTTCTGACACTGTATCATAATGTTTTTGGGTGATTTGGATGGCAACTACAATTTTGCATTTTGACTACTTAAATTGCTATGACTAAAAATACCAGGACGATTTGGCTCCGTTTATGTTTGTAGGGTAACATACTACTGACTGGCTTGACTTCGGTTCACAGCAGCTAGATATATCTATGAATATGTGGTAGTCGAAATAAGAACAATACTGATTTACTGTACTGGAGAAAACTCACACACACTTTTTTTAATGTTGCAAAAATGTTAAAATGAAGCAAATTTTAAATGCAATATTTTTTTTTAGTGACCTATTAACCTTATTTTGTTGAGGGGTATTTTGCCAAGGAGAACAGATTGTAAACATGTTAAGAAATCTTGAAATTTTCTTTAGCATATTTATGAAATTATTGTCAATGAACCTGTTCTTTAGGACCCTGTGACCTTTTGATATTTTTATTTTAATTGTGCCATGGACCATTTGTAAACAAATAGATTTACTTTGTTGCTTTAGGTTGAAGTTTTAGCAATCATGACTTTGAGGTTTGTGGTTTATTTGTAAACTTGCGATTGTTATTTTTGCAAGGGCAAATGTATATCTTTATTAAATAAAGTACAACAATGGTGAATGTACCAAAATGCTGTCACTTAACTCTATGAGAGATCTGCATTTTGATCTATAGCTTAATTTCATATTTATGTTTCATATGTTGATCATAGATCACACTTGTTGCTTTTTATACAGAAAATTGTAGAATGCTCATGAATATCTTTAGGATAGAAGGACTACCTCTGTAGTTAAACTGAGGAACCTTGTTCCACTGATTTAAGATACTGATGCCCATTTGGAAGTAAATTTCCACAGGTGTGCATAGGTGCACTTAGACTTTGCTTCATGAAAATGTCAATTCTACTCGTAACTGATTTAGATGTGAATTTTTTTTTAAATCCTCAACTGATATTTTTCCATTGATTTTTTAATTTAATTTTTATAGAAGGGGAAAAGGAGAGAGAGAGAGAGAGAGAAACATAGATGTGAAAGAGACACATGGATTGGTTGCCTCCCCCATGCGCCCTGGCCAGGGCCAGGGATTGAGCCTGCAGCCGAGTTATGTGCCCTTGACCAGGAATTGAACCTGCCACCCTCTAGTCCATGTGCTGATGCTCTAACCACTGAGAAATCCGGCCAGGGTCAGGTGTGACTTTTTTAAAAGACTAATTTTAGGCACATTTTCTTAACACCAGCAAAGTCAGATGAAATGATCTAAAGAATTGTAATGATAAATTTTAATTTCAATGATTAAAATTTCCTTTTTGGCCAGCATGCAAAAAGAATTTGAAATTCTTGCTGGTCAAAAAAGTAAAAATATACAGGTAATACATCTGTAGCACTTTTCCCTTTAAAATAAAACATTATCCTATTACATTTTTTTAAATGTAGCTTTTCAGTTCTGAATAGCAGGGGAGAAATTAGTGGGAAAGTGTTAATTATTAGATAAATTTAATCCAGTTAGGATTTATTAACTATATCTGTCAACAGTGTGCTGTGAGCAGTGGTAGTGGGCCATAACACTTTAGCATGGAAAGTCATCCATGAAATCGTGGCCAGAAGGTGTGACCTGTGAAAACATTGAGGCTCAAGAGTATTTCGCTTTGCTGGTGTAGATAGGCATGTATTTATGCATTTTTACATTTGTAAAGTCAACTTCGTTGTTAATCTCACATGAGGATATTTTTAACATTTTTTAGAGCGAGTGGGAGGGGGAAAGAGTAAAATCAACGTGAGAGAGACACTGATTTGGTGCCTCTTGCATGTGCCCCCAGCAGGGTAGAGGATTGAGCCTACAATTGCGGTCCATGCCCTTGGCCGGATCCACCTGCGACACTTCCATCTATGGGCTGAGGCTCTGCCGCTGAGGAATCGGCCAGGGCAAAATCAGCAATTTTTTAAATAATATACTAGTTTACCTGTAAAGATAGTTGGGCAGCATCTAAAACCGCTACAATGTGTGATTATGAGAAATGTATCTTGTGGTACGGATGAAAATGCAACTTGTAGAAGCAAAGGAAATAAAAAGTGGGATAGCGTTTCAAATTGTCTTCTGAACAGGAATTTCTTTAATGCATTGGTTTTGATCAAATGAAGTTCAGTTCTCTCGAGATTTGTGCTATTAAAATGGGTGAATGCAAAATCACCTTGTCATTTCATATGCAATTATTAGGTTTACTGGATTATCGGCTTAATATGAATGCTAGGATGTTAGAATACATCTAATATTTCACATTTTAAAAAATCAGTACACTTTTGAGAGTTTTTATTTCAACTTGGAGTCTAGATTACTTTGCCAAATGTATTATTTTCATAATGCAATAAAACATAAATTAGAAGTCTATGTGTGGAATATTTTATTTGCTATAGTAATTCACAAAGCCCTCCCCTGCTTCCCCATCCTGCTGACCTCGTAGTTCAGGATCCATTCGCACTTCCTGGTCTACAGGGAGGGAGGTTAATGTATTCATTACTTTATAGCTCTGCTGCTTAAGTGGTACTATTTTTGCAAAGAGGATGCATCTGAGTTGAATGGACAATTATTCTTTGCTGAGCAACTCAAACTTAATATCTGACAGAATTTACATTTACTATGTCAAATTTCTCTTGGCATTAAGTTGTCACTATAACATTTGTTTAGAATCATTTTAGAAAGCTCACTTTCAGACAACTACATGGTAAGATGTGTCAAATTCCCCTAAGTGGGTATCTTGTTCTCAGTTCTGGATTCTCGTTTCTTTATACATATTGCACCGAAGGTGATACTCTGAAGTAAAAAAAAAAAAAAAAAAAGATGGGGTACTAGCATGTTTCTACATGGAAATGCTTTTGAATTTTAGGTCATATTTAATTTCACTTATCCCCACTTTATTTATTAGAAGGTATAGCTAATACAGAGTTTTGAATTAATGATAGTAAGACTGATTCTTCAACTGACTAGGATGAGTGGTCTGGCTACTTGGCTGTCTAGAATGAAGAGTATACTGTTCCCTTGTGTTCTAAGTCTTAGAACAACAGATATTTTTTCCCTTTAGTTTAATATTGAGCATTTGAGTATCCGATCTTTGAATTTATTTGTAAACTTCAAGGTTTTTCCAAAGGCAATACATTTATTAAAACTAAAATGTATCCTGAGACTACTTCCCACTTCAAGGTGCTGAGTTTATCCCTGAAGCCTTTTGTGTTGCTTGATTTGTGCTGTTGGGAGCCGCAGGCAGACTGTGAATCACTAAGAAATGTGCATCACAGTAACAAAACTTTTGTGACAAGACCAGTTACCCCGACCATAGAGGGGCACAACACTCCCCCGCCATGGTGGGGGACGGGTGTTTCTACGAGTGGAAAGTATCATTAAGCCGGCCAAGTTTTGCTTTAGATGTGATGTAATGGTACTTGGTATTTGGTCAGTGATGCTGGTATCAAGAAGTATTTGTGGTTGAGTAGCCTTCCAAGTCTTAATGCTGCCTATTTGAGGGATAAACATGGTATTTGGCTGTCTTCATTTCAGATGGTTGTTTTTCTTTGCATTGCTCATACTGCTGCAGCACAGAGGGTAAGCTTCCTTGCTGGTGACTGACCATTCTGTGCATTTAGAGTGCACAAAGCCCCACCTTCAGCCTGGCTGGGTACCTAAACTTAAGTTACTTGGATTCAGAATACAGTTTCTTTTTTTTAAAATTAAATAGTTATTGTTCAGATTATTACAGTTGTTCATCTTTTTTCCCCCATAGCTCCCCTCCACCCGGTTCCCACCCCACCCTC